CCATTTTGACATGAATGACAATGACAATAATTCATGTGCATAATGCCCTGGTGCCTATTGCACTGGCCTCTCTGGTCCCCAGTGAGCAATTAGGGCCGCAGGGTGCTGGGTACCCTATAGACCAGCCAGGCAACGTGAGCTCACAGTCACAGCCACCGTCTAAATGAAGATGAGGCACAGCAGGTGGAATGGGGGATGGGCAAAGAGGGTTGAGTTTGCAAACACCAGCAATCGCCATGGTTAGGTCTTCATGGGTGGCCTCCATCCAGATTTCCAAGCTGCCCCTTCTCCCTGGTGCAGACTCCGGTGCACACAGAGATCTGTGGGTTAAGGGTTAGGTGCTTGAGTGGCATCAGGCATCAGAAGGCGTCCACAGACCATTCTCCCATAGGCAGCGGGTATAATAGACTGGGGGAGGTTAGTCAACCCTGGCACATGTCTGGGCCTCTTCCTGCTTGGCCACTTCCTCAAGGGTCCCACCACCAGCAGCTGCCTAGCTGAATCCCTCTCTGCTCCTCCACTCCCCCCACCTTCTCTGGAGGACCCTGGTGTTCTCTGTGTCCCTCCTCTCCTCCAACTCCCTCCCTTGTGAGCTGCACATCCCCACCACTGCTTGCAGCTTCTAAATATGTGACACCCATTCCCTATTGGTGTAAATAGAGTAGAAAGGTCCAACGATTTCAAACAGTATGAAAAGAAAACACTCCAGGTGTGCATTAATATGGTATCTCTAATATCATAAACCTACCGGGTCCTTTGCCCATCAGTAGCGATCTTCCCTCCTCTAAAACTAAAAATAGCATCACTCAAATCATTTCCTTTTTCTTCAGGAAAGAATCCAGGCCCATTTGAAAACTCTGAGGTGTAAAAGAGAAAAGCTGCTGGGATTTCAAGTGAGTGGAGAGAAGAGAAGCCAGGAATACCTGGTAGGTGCCATAAGTGGGGGATGATCACCAAGAAATCAAAATTAATTGCTTTAGCAGAATTCCTCCTTAGGCTTGTACTATATGCCTGTTCTTTTCAACCATTTTGCATTTGCAGACCTCTTCTGACATTTCTAATGTTGGCGCTTTGAAAATCTACCATATCTGTGAATAGTTGAACTCTGTTCAATCAGTTTTCAATCTGAGGGTATGTCTACACTAGCACTCTAGATCAATCTAGGGAGGCTAATGAAGGCGACCAAAATTTCAAATCAAGCCCGCTTGATTTGCATGTTCCCAGCCGGTTGCCATTTTAGAAATTGACTGGCCCGAAGTAACTACCCGCGTCTACACGCAGCAGTGAAACAGGATTTCAATGTAAAGCCCCTAAATCAAATTAGCTGGTAAACCTCATTGCAAGAGAAATACCAGCTAATTCGAGTTAGGGATTTAAATTGGAATCCCGTTTCACTGCTGCATGTAGACGCGGGCTGTTACTTCAGCTAGTCTATTTCTAAAATGGCGCCCGGCCGGGAACATGCAAATCAAGTGTGGGATATTTAAATCCCGGGCTTGATTTGCAATTTCGGTTGCCCTCATTAGCCTCCCTAGAGCGATCTAGGGGGCTAGTGTAGATGTACCCTGAGTCTTTTGAGGATCCCTTAGACATGGTACGTGGATCCCCAGAGGTACAGAGTACAGGTTGAAAACCAGGGCCATAAACTGCTGCATACTATTTGTACAGAGTACAGGTTGAAAACCAGGGCTGCTGCATACTATTATTCTTATTTACAGTATGTTAACTACTGTTAGCTTAATTAAATTCACTTCATGAGTAACAATTTCTATTACTGAACTAACAGAATGTTGAATTACAAAATGCCGTGCCCTAGAACAAATACTAATTGATACTAACTCCTCGGTTTCACAGTTCTCAGCCTCCACCAGACTGGAGGGTAGAGGATATTTAGTTATGTCTTGGGGAGTCCTCTTATTTAATCTCTGTTTGCCGTTCTGAGTTCCAGCTTGAATAAAGTTCCAGGATGCCATGTGGTGAGTTCTAGCCCTCCATTCCTTTCCTGTTTACAGTGCCTTTGGGCTCTGACAATTTCCCCATTCCTGTCATTCACCTTGGATGCCTCAGGGTGCTGTCCAAAGATGCCTCACAATCCTTACTAATTACTTACAGTTACTGCAGTTCACACCCTGCAAGTCAGTTTCTCTTTCACTACAGTTTTTATTTTGTAGCAGGTTAGTTCCTTCACATTTCGCTCTTATGAACGATGGCGGTGTGGATGTGGCCTTTGCTGGGGAATGTGGGCTTTTGTCAGC